AGACTCTATGCGGTTCCAAAGAGGGGTGTGACACATACGTTTATTAACTTGTTCCTTTATCAAGTGATATAAATGAAATATTTTGATAGTCTTGTATATGTGATATGATATAATGGTTCTGGTTCCATTCTAATATCTATGTGGATTCCTATTTAAAGTCGATCTGGTTTTTACGTCACTTATTTTATCTTGTCGTAGGTAACATTTTTTAACAATAATATTACGATTCTCTTACAATTTAAAAGGAACGTGTTTTTTCTGTATAATTACGTTCGTATCAATGATAATTACATCTATATAGTAGTAAATGACACCTCTCATCTCGTCTTGTAAACACACCAACCTAAAGGAGAACAGACCAAGGATACCAAAAAAAATAAAACCCAGACAGAACCAGCCAGGTAAAGGGGAATGTATCAAGAAAGCCTGAGCTATTTGTACAGACTAAAGAAACAAGAAAGATTAATGAGACCAGTCCACAAATACCGGGCAATGTTTCAATGCATGCCTTATATAAATCGGGTATCAATGCAAAACGTATTCTCAGTGAAAACATGTGAAGGACAAGTTGACCTTAACACTGGTATAGTCAGCTTACTTGTACAAACATGCTTTGAGATGAATTTTTGTGTGCACTATATTCAAATACAATTGATCATTATTTTAACTTTTTTTCATTTTGAAAGGGATATATTTACATGAAATTGTTCGCTTTGTATTTTTCGAAGTTTATGTCCAAAGCTTGCATTGTCGACCATTGACTATTTATGAAGCCAGCCCCTGTGACTACCAATGCATTATCAGGACTGATCACAGCTTGATACGAGGTCATAAGGGTCAAGGTAAGCTGAAGTACATATTGTCACGTAACAGACAGGTATGCCTTACTCAGCTAAATTGGTCTAACGTTTAAACAGGAAAAAATAGTTCGTTTGGAAATCACAAGGGGACACGATTTTATTTTTGAATGTGCAAATAGATGGTAAATAAAATGGTTGCATGCTTTTAACTAATAGGACCCCAACTATCCACTCCTAGCAGGAACTTTATACAATGATTGTCAACACTACCGATCAGTTTTGTGTTTTTACCAATCTGTATGTTTATGGTTTGTTCATACATATTTAGGGTGCTACATTGTAGAGGGTGTGAAAGTGGTCTATATCTTATTGTGTGTATGGCAAAAACAAAAACAAAAACTGTTTATGTATACGTGACAATTCCTTGAAAACTAAAGCGAAACTAGTCTTACGTTCTGCTCATGATGACGGTATGCTTTTACTTAGCAGGTCCTCAAGTTGGAAATAGACGCAGGTTACAGAAACTGAATAACTTCAGTAACGGAGTACGTTCAAAGCAACATAGATCAGAACTTGCTACAAACGTTATTTCGATCTGAAACCGTTCTGCTCATGATATCCTACGTAACCGATATGCATGCATACTTAAGTGTCAGTCACGTGACCGATGCAAGATAATATATGAAAAATACCGTAATCATAAATCACTAAAATAATTGCACTTATAGACTATAGCCTAAGTGTATGCCCATTATAAAATAAAGATCTGATTACATTCGCCATTCCATAATTGTTTTTATGATCATTGGTGAAAAATACACTGAAAAAACATCGTCATCTATCCCGCCAGGCGGGCGTATTTCACAGCTATGCAATGTATTTTTGTAGCAGATCTTTCAAGAAGGACTCGACTAACATTTGTAAATATGAACTTTAATTTATAAAACAATCAATTCCTTTATGCGACAAATAAGTCAAAGTATTCTCTCCTCAACTATAATCTCATATAAATACTAAAAGGTCATCCTTCTACTGGTTAATACTTGAGAGGAGTTGTTTCACTTTGACCGATAATGCTTGACAATGTGTTAATTGTCAAATGAACAAGCTGTTATTTATAACATCTTCTAGAGATTTACTCAACCCAGTCATCATCTCTAAAGTTGTTATTACCAAATCGGTCTTTTTTCTTATAATAGACATCTATCAATAATAAACGATTTTGTTTTAGAGTGCATCAACAAATATGTAACGTATCTAAGAGCTGCTGTTGACTCCATTATGGCATTAGTTATATATTGTTAACTGATATAACTTCATCACATCACCACGTGGTCAATAATCTGTAACCGAATCTGTACTAATTACATTTTAGCGACTAAATGTCATATTCAATACATTTGAAAGGTTTTCAAATATCTTTTGCCAGCATATGCATATTCGTTTCTCGTGCACAGCGATCTCATAAAAGTTATTTGATCTTTTGTTCACTGACCTCACTGCCTTGTGTGTATACCCACCAATAAAACTAACGTGTGCTCAATTTCACAGCACATGGCGTTTAAGTTATGTACACCGTTAATGATTGTATTCAATAAACCTTGCAAACGATCACTTAAATGAGTCTCATTGGGTCCCATTGCATTGCTCATCCATGTATACATAAACGAGATACACTGTCGCAAAGTATGCATTTCCATTGACGTCATTGTGTTTACAACATCTGAGGCCTTTCAGCACCAGCTGACACTTCGAATGATTTATTTTTATTTTTCACCGCATATTTTTGTTTTCACACCTGGCAGCCCGACTTGACATTGAAGAGTTCCAAAACGTTTTACCGTTGCATTCACACCGATACCCAATATCGGTGGCCTTTTTCACCCAATGCACCTCAGGTTACATACTTATGTGTATCAGAAAGTCTTATGACAATATGTTATGGGGTGGCATTTCTCCAAAAATAAATGCTGCCTTTCCTTTCCCTATTGGCATAAATGGTCAAAATGTGACAATTGCTGACATTTCATGTGTATGAACGTCCGAAACGACAGTCTTATCAGAGTTTGCTGTGCCATAATATACCTAAATTTAATATTCGAGCAAAGTCAAATAGTATCTAAATTTCTTCCAAACTGAAGCCAGTCTATGGCACCCATCGTGTGTGATGATTAAATAAAAGTCATGTAAGAGGTCGGCAGGTCATACTATGCATTGATACCAAATTTGAAAGTAGCTTAAATGCGACCAATCTGAAGTAAAAAACGACAGGCTTCTTGTTTAATGACTTAACAGAAATATCGTTACAGATTGTTCTGCTATCGTTCAAAGACAAATAACGACCAAAAGGCCCCCAATCATCATTTTCTATTCATAAGGATTTAATTGAGAAAAAACTAATTATTTAATATATACAAATGTATTCTTGGGATCACATTTTATAATTCGATTAAATGTTTAAGATATATTTTGACGATATGTAAAACGTGACCGAATTCCCGTTTTTCCACCTTGTTCATGTTAAAACAGTGTAAGGCCTGTTTACTATTGAAAAGCCTTTATACGACCAAGCTCATTATATATCCTTTATTCAAACCTTCTGCCCGTATATTTGATTCTTGTATATAGCAGATATCGTTTTAATTTATAACTGTTGATTGAACCTTTTGTTGATCGACCTTGTTGTTTATCGACCAATAAAGGTAAGGTGTATTTAAAAAATGTAACTTGCGCAGACGGCTAATTCATACAGACAGGTTATAATTTGACGACAAACGTTCTATTCAGAAGAAATGCGAATGGTGGCCACTTCATATTAAACCACACCGGTCTTTAAAATTCTGACTATACAGTAACACAACATTATTGACAGCTAACTGCACATATGGTTTATTCACAAAGGACTTATTCTAATAATTCCTTAATGAGAACGATGTTTTAAATGATATTTGTACGATAGTTATCGCACAGTTGTTACCTGTAAATAAATACGATTCCGTATTGAAACTTTGATCTCTCCTTATTTGATTTCAGCTAGATATGTATGGTGATCTATTTATATGACAGCCTGAACATACAACGTACTGTAATTGTTTTTAAACGACCTTATTCGACAGGTGTCTAAGATATACGGTCCTATACATGTTCTGTACACGCAGATAAACTTAAAACAAAGACATCTTTATCTGTAATCAGTTTCTTAATAATTACCAGGTAACGAGTACAATTTTTGTATCATTGTCAAAAGTGGAGGAGGTGTGAAATTTCTGCTCATGGCGTAACTGACACAATTGACATAGGTAAGGACCATTTCTGTTTAGATAACTTTTAAATGAGCGATGAACTTTTATCTACGACCAACTATATGCAATCAACTATTATTTCTAAGTATGTGTACAGTAAACTGGCATTACAACCCTATAATTGACTGTTTTGTAGTCATTGTAATAACGTGTAACGTGCATTGAAGAACTGTAAGAAGTACACAATATACCTATTGGATGTTTAATACATCTGTAAGATATGCTTATGTTCACTCCCCTCGTCCGTATTTTCTTCATTCCGTAACATGGATCAACGAATCTTAAAATATCGCTCATATGTGCGCATTTGTATTGCACACCCGTTGTTAAGTCACTAAATTGTGGACACTATGATATGTTACACGGTCATTTTGGTGCGTTGTGCACACACCTGAATCATGTCGATGACAAACGTTCGTTCTACCTCGTTAGCAGGCATAAGTCTACAAAATCGTCTGAATAATTTGTATGGATTATGTTTAAAAAAAAAGAATCGTGCTCCTATTTAAGGTTTACACTACTAGCATATTCAAAGTGTATTCATTCAAATTTAGCGAATCCATATTTTATCGACCATTTATTATATGTGTATACGTCAGCCAGTATTTGACTACACAGTACCAGGGTTTTGAGCTATCGATTTCCTTAGCATATCAATAGTCTGTATTCTGATACATATCAAACTCATTCAAATTTTTAAACCTTTATCTGAATATTTTGTTATTTGATCTCATTTTATATGTGTGTATCAACACCAACATGGATAGCGTGTTATTGACTTCACAGTACAGTGCGTTAAAGGTATGTACCTTGAGCGGGCCTCTATTATAAACATTGAATATGCGTATTTTCAATAAACCAAACACACGTGATCCAAACAACATAACGATCAATTGAAGAAGGAAGTTTAATTCAGAACGAATGCAAATGGCGGACTGTATGACATAGCTTGTGTTCACAGGATTTATCTGAACGTTAGGAGCAATGGCAAGTAAGTTATCTATCCGCCGCGCCCAGGTGCATGTGCCTAATACTTGTGCGTTTTGTGAAAGCATACAGGACGTAAACTGGTACTGTAATGACTGTTGCGAAGCCTTGTGTGACAAATGTAAGGAGGGTCATCAACGCGGGAAGAAAACACGGAATGACGACATCATACCAATAAAGAAGGGTAACAAACGCAGAGAAGCCGTACTCCCAGAGGTATGTAAGACACATCGAGGTAAGACGTGTGACTTGTACTGTAGTGACTGTGGCATCGCGATGTGTGCGATGTGTTTTACCGAGACACATAAACAACACACTTTCAAAAATATAGAGGAAGAAATTGTCTCACAAAGAGAGTACATTCAAGATCAACTTCAAATATTAAAGTCCAATTTCGACCAATTGGATGGTTATCAAGCAAAGCGTCATGATGTGAGCAAATCTTTCAAAGAGAGCGTGGATGTCGTCCGACAAACTGTACAAACCCAAAGACTGATACTGAAAACAGAGATAGATTCCATAGCTGACTCGGTTTTGGATGAGTTATCGTCCTTGATTGACGACGAAGAGCAATCTTTCAAACAGGACTGTCAATCTAATGAAAAAGACATCACAGAGATAAAGCAGCTGATCAGAGATGCAGGGCAAAATACAGAAAAGATGTCTGGTGCATCCTTGTTTGAGCTGACAGGGAGACTGAAGACCGCAATACCGCTGTATGATGCCAGTACAAAGACATTGATCCCTCGCCCACCTCACTTCGTATCTGGAAAACCTAACGCAGATCAGTTGAAGTCAATGATTGGATATATCAAGGAAGACATCAGGTATGAGAGGAAAGAGGTTGACAGTAAACAGGTTAGTCAGATATCCACATTCCGGCTACGTCAGCAGTCACAAATCACCTCAATATGTCCTATTAACGACACTCACACTTGGATGTCAGTACATGGGTGTACAGAATTGATCAAAGTTAACAAGAAAGGCAAGGTCACAGAGTCTGTCAACCTTGACTTTGCACCTTGGTGTCTGACATTGACCAACGCAGAAGAATTACTGATCACGTGTGGTTCACCGCTGATACACAAACTAACCAAGGACAGACAAGTGACCGGATTTGCTGACATCAGTCCGTTAAAAGCCTGGGGTATCAGTGTCAGTGGCAGTGACGAGGTCTTCGTTACTACTTACACTCCAGAAATACTGGTACTAAACATGTCCGGGGAGAGGATCAGAACAATCTTGTGTGAAGATGATGGGATGAATATCGCTTGTTTGACAACAGGAAACATAGTTGTCACAACTGGCTATAATTTGTTTACTTCAACAGAAATTATTGTCATAGACAAATCTGACCAGATCACACGTAGGTGGAACGGGGAAGTAGACCATGGTCAGAAGTTAGGAAATACGTCGCAGAGTGATATAGCACGCGATGGATACGACAGAGTGTTTGTACCAGACGACATAACCGGCCAAGTATACGTCATCTCGGATAAACAAGGCAAGGCCAAGTGTCTCCTCGACGAGAAGCATGGAGCAAAAGGTTCTTGTACTGTGTGTGTTGACAGGTGTGGACATGTTTGGATCGGCTGTCTTAATGGTACAGTGCATGTGATGGAGCTTTAAACAATTAAGACGGATGGTACAAATTTAGCATTACATTGCAGTGGAAACACATTTTTTTTTTTGTATCTCCTACCAGCTGACCCGGTAATACTTTTCGAATGTTTTCATACAACTACATTGAAAACATGTCACCTGTATAGACTATGGATACCTACCTGAGATAATCACAACTGTAGGGTATGTCATCAATACTAGATAGTTTAGCTTTACATCTGGTTTGTATTTCAAAATAATATCATGAAAAAATACATTTTGGATCAATTATATCTAGTAAACTTGCTTTCATTAAATACTTACTTTCATAATAATGATGAATATCATATTTTAAATAAGTTTATATCAGACAAACTAAAATATCGACAATAATTCTGGTTTGGAAATAGGCTGACTTTGAAAATTAAAACCTTGCTTGGATACCTTGCAGTTAAACAAATTTCGATAATAAGCCATCTTTAGGATCAGGCCGGCCTTGAATATAAACGATAATCATTAGGTAGAAACCACATGTTCCCCCTTTTGACCTAAACTGGTTTTAATGGTTCATTAAAATGATTAAATATTACAACCATTTGATGAAGGAGGAGAAAATATAATTTTGTTTCAGAAGCTTGAATAGCCCATTTCTCCATGTCAAAAAGTAGAAATGGAAATACACCTGTAATGGCGTACTGTCTACACTATTTCGAAACTAAAGCTGACATGATTAAAGGTCGGCTTCGAAAATAAACCTGGGATTCCTTACTGCAAATGAAAACCAACTGTGGCTTATTGTCAAGATTTTAGATTTTAGTCGTTCATTGCAGTAAGATTAATCCCGTAACGTAATTTACATTACCTGCTTCACGTCAAAATGATTTATAAGAAGATAAATGTTGATTATTTCGTTCATATTCTCAACAAATGAAAATCAAAAGCTGATGCAATTTTAAATGATAAAAAAGTACACGTTGACCTATTGGTTTTAATGCTGGCTTTTTCTAGAGATATCTCCCAGTAGAAATGTTAACAGAACCGGGTTGATGACTAAAAAGATCTTCAGAAAATATCCGCATTTTAACTTGTTGTGCCTGTGGCAAAACTGAAATTAAAAAAATCTTGAATCACCGACAAAAAGATAAATGCAACGGACATCAGTTTCTGGATTTTCCATTTGTTTTTCATCCTTCCGAAAATAACCGATGAAGGCCGATCGATTGTTACGTGCTTGTGACGTCATAGTGTGATAATCTCTGAACGAAGTTTTATGCCTGTTAGTATCACTTTTTATGTGATAGACTTTTTTCACTCAGAATATATATACTTTTTATTTAAATCAACAAATAATAAAACATGAAGATTGTTTTCACTATATGAAGATTTGCATGTATGGGTTGAAACACAATTGACTTTGCTTCAACGATACACCTTTTTAGCCACTGTACCAGAGTATTTGTTTGGTTTATGCAATCCAGTCTCGTTAATCTGACCTGTTGTTGTCTCAATTGTCGAGTCCCTTTGGTCTAGCTTGGTCTGTTCTGTTATGACCTCTATGGTCGACTCCCTGTGGTCTGGTCTGATGTGATGTGGTTGATTTCCACTGGTCAAGTCTGCTCTAGTATAGTCTGGTTTCCTAGGTCTAATCCATCTGACCCCCACTATTATCTTCTGTCTGGTCTTATCTCTTCATCTTAACTCATTGAACTCGTCTGATATCTTTGATCTAATTGTTTTCTTGTCTTGTATTTTAGTACGTGTGTGCAATCGCTTTGCACCGACATGTCTATGTTCCAATTCCCCGATATGACCGGAAAAGGTAGGATGTCATCTGCCTGATTTGATCTCGACAACACTCCTATGTCAAAGCCGAAATAGAAATATTGTGTTAGTATCTCATTGTTCTTGTTTATATGCCTTTATCCAATTGTTCTGGTTATATCAGATATCTAATTTCATATTCAAATTTAGCGTCAACTTTTGTTTTACCGCACTAATTAAAGAGTCTTTCTACTTTTTACGTGAGAAGGATTATTTAACAACAATATTACAGTATTCTTACATGTGGAAAGTGTTTTGGCTGAACAATCACATTAGTATCAATGATGCTTATATATATATATATATATATATATATATATATATATATTAGTGACACTTCTCATTTTGCCTTGTACACATACCAACATAAAGGAAAACATGTCAAATTATACAACTTTTTAGTACAATTTTGAATCCTTGCCTCACATGAATGCTTCTGACCAAATATGATCGATATCCATGGCATAGTTGATAGAGCTCTTATTTGACATTTCTTGCACCAGAACATCAGAAATAGAAGTATATTTGTTTACCATATTTGATAAAATAATGGCACCGTGTATTGGTAAATCATTAAATGACCTATAATTACAAACTTTTTTCTGTAAAAACAGTCAGTCTGTATGAAAAACTTCCATTCTCGCCTGTATAACAAAGGATCCAGACCGAACCAGCCACATAAGACTGTATGAAGGAAGCCTGAGTCATATGGGCAGACTAAAGAACAAGGAAAGGTTAATGAGACCAGACTACAAAGACCAGGCAATGCTTGAGTGCATGCCAACACTATATCGGGTATCAATGCAAAACATATTTTCTGTAAGCTGTAGTACTGATTGTCACGTAACAGACAGGTATGATTTACTCCGCTTGTTTGATCTAACGTTTAATCAGAAAAAAAATCCTATTTGAAATTACAGAGGGACTGCATGTTTTAACAGAAATGAACTCGACTATCAACTCCACTCCTCACAGGAACTATATACAATGCGTGCCTGCACTAGCAATCAGTTATTTTGTTTCTAACAATCTGTATGTTAATGGTCTGTTAAGGGATCTAGAGAGTGTTACAATAATCAGTATGTTTTCATTTATATGTTGCGTATGAAAAAGGAAAATCAATTTTGTGTTTTTATGTGTCAATCCCCTGAAAAATATAGCGAAACTTGTCCTACGTTCTGTTCATGATGACGAACGTCAATCGTTCTGCTCGTAATATACTAGAAAAGTGATATGACTAAATACGTTAGTGACCGTCACGTGACCGATGCAGGATAATATAAGTGAAATAAAGTTATAATAAATCACTAACAGTATTGCAATAATAGACTTAGTATATCCCCATGATTAAATAAAGGTCTGATTACATTTTCCATTCCGTAAATTCTATTATATTTCTCATAATCGTAAATTTATCGCAATGAAGAAGACTGATCATTAATCAAATACACCGATGATTGTATGTATTTGTTTGTTTGACAATTTTGTTTCCTGTCTACAGAACATTTTAGTTGAAAGCATGGTTCTTATGTCAAATATTCCTGTTTTAGCAGAATTGTTAATACGATCGTTGATGAAAGATACACTAATTCGTTTCCGTCACTTATTTCGCTTGGTTGAACGTATTACCCGACAATGCAACTTGTTCTTTGTAGCAAATCTTCCACGAATGACTCGAAATATGTCTGTGAATATTGACGTTAATTTATGAAAAAACAAAATTCCTTTTTGTGACAAATAAGTCGATGTACTTCATACTTCAACAATATTCCTATTGAAATATTTAATACTGTTGTTTTTAACATTTTCAAGAGCTTTACTCAAAAGAGGTATTATGCCTTCAGTAATTATAACCAAATTACTCTAAGAATTACTCTTAACATTTTCCAAGTAAACATCTATCAGTATTTTTTTTAGAGTGCACCAAAAGAAAAGAAAACCTGTCTCAGAGGTGTTATTTACAACATTATTACATCAGTCTTATCTTGTTAACTGATATAAGTCCATCAAATCACCATGTGGTTAATAATCTGTAACCGAATTTGTACTAAATACATTTAAGCGACTAACTGTCCTATTCAATACATTTAAAGGGTTTTCAAATATCTTTTGCCAGCATACGCATATTCGTTTCTTGTGCACATCGATCCCATTAAAGTTTTTGTTAAACAGTAAATTAATCTTTTGTTCACTGACCTCGCAGCCTTGTGTGTATACCAACCGATAGAACTAACACGTGTTCAATTTTAAAGCACAGTGTGTTTTAGTTATTGTCCCCGTGAAGGACTTTATTCAATAAGTCTTTTAAACGGGGTTTAAAACACATAATGATCACGTGAAGGAGTCCCGTTGCGTCCAATTACATTGCTCCTTATCTTTTACATACAAGAGATACATTGTTGCAAAGTATGCATTCGAATGACGTCACGTCGTTGACAGAGTCTTAGGCTTGTCAGCACCAGCTAACATTTTTGCTGTATTTTTTTTACGCGAATGATATTTCTTTCACGCTTGGCAACTGGAGTTGACAATGAAGAATTCAAAAATGTTTACTGTTGCATCAACACCGATACCCAAGGTCAGCATGGCGCATCCGATACATCGATATACACAATAAATGTTTACTTGTTATGCGTTTAATAATGAAATGATATGCTGCTATTACATTACATGTTTGAAAATCGATACCTGCTGACAAGGTTTGGAGATAGTCTTGTATTTCTTTCACTTTTTTACGCCAATGCATGGTATCGTTTCTCAATTTTTGTTTTGAATGTCCATGTAGCAGCACGTCCAAAACGACAGTCTTTTCAAGAGTTTGATGTGCCATAATTCACATAAAAACCAAATTTTAGCAAAATCGAACAGTTTGTGAATTCCTTACTAACAGAATTCATGCCATCTGAATCTCGTGAATTACAGCCATCGTGTTCAATAACTTAAAGAATTCGCGTTATAGGTCGCCAGTTCATGATATGTTTTTATACCAAAATAAGCATAAATAAATCAAAAGTATGCCTAAATTTCGAACTAACACTACAACAATACAGGTACTGAACAAGTCCGGTGACAGGAACAGACAAATCTCGTGTAGAGGTGATAGTGGAGGTGTTGGGCTGGGTATCGTATGTTTGACAACAGGAAATATGGTTGTTACCAATTGCGTAAATATTTATGATTGTAATGAAATTATTGTAATCAACACGTCTGATCAGATCACGCACAGGTGGCGTGTGGAACTGGACAATGGTCAGACGATAGAGGAGACGAAGCAATGTGATATAGCACGAGATAAATATGACAGAGTGTTTGTACCAGACCACATCACTGACCAGGTTTACATCATCTCGGGGAATGAAAGAAAGGCCATGTGTCTCCTGGACAAGAAACACAGAGTAATTCAACCAATGGCTATGTGTGTAGACAGGTGTGGACATGTTTGAATCGGCTGTGGTGATGGTACAGTACATGTGATGCAAATATGAATATGTACAAATATTCTTAAATGAATAAAACAGATACCATTACCTTGGCAATACAAATGTCCGTATTCAAACAATCCTAACTGCCGACGCCACAAAATGACATGAACTTTTTCACACGAGTACAGTGTTTAGTGTACTGAACTAATCAAACATTTCGTTCTTACAAATATCTGTGTGCTATACATCTATAAAGTCAACGAGGAAACATGACTCAATCTATTACATATATTACTGCTTTAACATGTCAACTATACGGACTGTTTGTGGTTTACTACGATCATCACAAGTTTCTTTTTTCACTTTCATTAGGTCAGTAGGGAATCATTATAGAGCTCTATGCTGAATTTTAACAGGACCTGGTTTATGTTCCATCATAATGTAATGTCAACAGTTATATACATTTGGCTTTAACATATCACTGTTAAGCTATAGCTTGAAAACGTTGATATATTAATGTTTACAATAAGCGTGAGAGGTAGACGTTGCATTTGGAATGTAATTCTGATGAATCAATTATTTTGCTCATGTTTAAATCATTTCGAAAATTTAAAAAAATAAAAACAAACTCCGAGTAAATTCTAAAAAAAGTTTTAGGGTCTGTGGAGTGTGTAGACTACAACCAAAGCATTATTGATTTTTTTCCTGTTCTGTATTTTTTTCATATTTACTTTACGACTTTATCTGCTAAAGAAGTGAATACCTCGGATAGAAAATTTAATAAAAATGTCACAAAATTCTCTATTGGCTAAGATTTATGATTAAAACATGTAACTGCAGTTCGAATAAAAGGAATACATTACAAAACAAAACAAAAAGTAAAAAAAAATTAAAAAAAAATGCCTTGGTATTTCATTAATCTTGTATATGAACTCTGTATCTAACAAGACGAATTCAGCAACATCAACCATGTGTCTAACAAACTAGCTAAATAAAATATTCACAGAGAAAAACTCATGACGTACGAATCACCCCACTGACCAGACTACAGACTATTACGTAACATGGTCTGTTAAATCAGTTCTATACGTATACTACCAACGACAATGGCATCAAAATTCAACCAGAGAATGGGCATAACTCGTGTAGATACATGATCCCGTATTCAGTCAATATAACCGGCGAGATATACGTCCGCTCATAACATGCCTGTGACAAATGTATAACGGTGTCTTAAAATGTGGGGTGATGACGTTTCATACATAAATTGTGGTATTCGGTATTATAAATGCTCGTACAACATTTTTGTTTTAATATATACAAATGATTAAAGTTTCATTTATCTATTTAATTTATTGTAACAATTATAACATGTGAACACTTAACTGTGGCAAAAAAATATCAATTATGAAATAGTGCTGTTACGTATTCCGTACTATTTGCAAAGCAAACACTTTTGTTCACTGTATACTGTAATTCTAATTTGTCAATCCGACATTGGTTTGTTGAAAGTGTGATCGTTAAGAGAATGACCACATTTTCATTTACGCATTGTAAATAAAAACAACTAAGATATGTTGATGTGTTGTATTTTTATTGTCATCATAGGTAATCAATATCCCTTTATTATTGAAATCGGGGCAAAATCAATATTAATGAAGCCATAACAACCGGATGTACATAAAGTAACATTATGATATTGTCATTTTCATCAATGTACTCCCAGTGTTATAAATATTATGGTTTGGATTTCGCAACTGCCTCACAATATCACAAAATGCACTACAGCATATCTTTGACTTTGTAGGTTTACAGATTACTAGATATACCTAAAAGGCGCTATCATCTTAGTTTCTATTTCCATGACCATTGCATAGGATCCCAAATGTCGGTTTTAATTACTACATTGTTAATATCCCGTTAGTTTTATTTGTCGATCTTTTCACGTTGGGTCTCCAACGGACATGTCTGTTACAGCTTGTCTATGTATCATTTACTATCCGTGTCGGCTTGACATAAAACATTGATATTGCTTACATTTCTTCCTACCAGCAACATACTCATGTCTCCAGCGCTTCAGTGAATAAGAGATACGTCGTCTTTGTGATAAAGTGATAAAGGTGAAATGTCGGGCTAAGGAGATACATTTACGTCTACGGCTAAGGACAAATGAAGACGTTGCTGAACAAAAATTGTAGGAATTGGAGCAGACAATAGATACATATTCCAACTGTTGCAATTCACATAACGAGAGTAAAAATACAAGAAAAAAGACAAAAACAAAAAAAACTCAACAAAGCCAACAGTAGACACCCGCGACGTACTGATGAAGAATAGAGAAATCCACAATATGCCGGAAGTTAGACAGGTCGTGTGCCACATGTGGTTCCCATCATTAATACTTTGGGCCTAATGTCGAGTTCGAGACAGTGTGTAAGCTTGGCATTATAATTATAAAATACAAGTCTATAATAACGACGGGTATCTATATCCTATAGATTGATAGCAGATCAAAGATGAAGACTGTACAACATGTTTTTCCGGAAACAGAAATATCTTCGAATATGGAATATAGCCTACCGTGTCACATGGAGTAGTACCTTATTTGTATAAGTGCCGGTTTATTTTTAAGGATTGGAGACAATAATTTTGAATAATAGTATGCAATACCGGCAATAATTATGTAGTCAGTTTACAGTAGGCCGACCGTATGAAAGCACCACATATTTTAGCTTACTTGTTGACTTATTTTAATACTGTAAAATTACATACGTGTAGTGAAGTTCTGTGATGCAGGTGTTTTATCATGGCTGTAATCGACATCCTATTGTTGGAAAGTAAATCATACAGGTTTTTATGGTATAAAATATTTCGATTTTACATTTTTGTTGAGATTAGTTTAGTGTGTGATGTCATTATTATCGACTCTAATCAGCAGTACCTGATAATCAAGAGCATGACTAATGACAGTTAATGGAGCCATGACTACCGATTGTACATCAATTATGCAATTCTGACATTTTTATTCATGGTGTTTTTCTCCGGTACTGGTATCATGTTAAGCGTTCAAAAACCGTTTTGTTTATTTAAAAAGAAAATAAAGCACATACGGTTTCAGGTTTATAATCGCTGATCACCTTTTTTTCCTCGGCTTTGTTGTGCATTCACTGATATAGGTGTTTAAATGTACAGCAAAGTTTGGTTTAGATATGTGTACCCCCTTAAGACATGTACTAAGAAAACCTTACATACAAACACATATTTTTAGTTGGTTAATGCGACATACAGGATAGAGCTCGCTTAATTTTTAATTTATATACACGCCTGTCTTTAAAACATGCGAGCTAGACAATGGCACAAAGTTGTTAATAACTAACTACATGCTTTATCTGTCGGTTAGATACAATGATTTAAAGTTCTTTTGACAGATTTTTATGAAATGAAATCTTCAGAATCAGTTTTAGCAGATTTTGATATGTAACGGTGGATTTATATTTGGTAACAAATTAGGGGGTGTTCCTGACTCGCTTCATCGGGTTGGCTTATAAACTTCCGGTTGGCAATACAAATGTGTTGAAAATTCTTTTTGAAGCCATAAAAGGTTATTAGATATACATCTTCACTTGTTACCTATCAATTATACAGACTTACATATAACACGTAATTCCTACAGGCCGGGCTGCACATCTTTACATGGAGAATATTGGAGGTATGGGTTATAATGCCATATCAGCGTATTGTCTGAGTCAACACGCAACACAAACACATCAGATCAAGTAAGAAGATATTGGTCAATTTATGTGTGCTGACAGGAATACAAAACAATCGAATGTGGATTAAGCCATATAACCTATAGCTGACAAAACAGTAATCGAAATACCACGTGCTAAAATTGTTTATAAACGACCTTCATCGACAGGTGCAGATGTACGGTCATATACATAAGGCAGCTTTACCTGTTACCAGTAACGGGTACATTCTTGTTTAGATAACTTTTAAATCAACGATGAACTTTTATCTATGATCAACTCCATGCACTCTACGTATGTGTAAAGTAAACTGACAGTACAGCCACAACATTGACTGTTGTATTGTCATTGTAATAACGTGTAACGTACATTGAGGAATTGTAAGAAGTGCACAATATACCGATCGGATGTTAAATACCATTGCAAGATTTGCCTAATTTCACTTCCCTAATCCGTATTGTTTTCATTTCGTAAAATGAATCAACCAATCTTAAAATATCGCACACCTGTTGTTAAATCGTTAAATTGTGGACACTATGATATGCACACGTTCATTTTAGTGCGTTGTGAACACATCTGTATGATGTCGATGACAAATCCTCGTTCTACCTCGTTAACAGGTATTAGTCCACAAAATCATCAAAATAATTTGCATGGATTATGTTAAAAAGACAATGTCGGCAAACTTATTCCAATTAAGTTAATTAATTGTTAATCGACCATTCATTAGGCGTGTATACATCAGCCCGTATAGATAAGCATATTTGACCTCACAGTACAATGGTTTTCATGTATCGATATCCTTTGCGAGCATATAAGCAGTCTGTATTATTATACATAGCGAATCATTCAAAGTTTTAAACATTTATCTGAATCTATTGTTCTTTGACCTCATGTTATATGTGTGTATATACACCAACATGGATAGCGTGGTATTTACTTCACAGTACACTGCGTTAAAGTTGTATACACTGTGCGGGTCTCTATTATAAACACTCACTGAATATGCGTCTATTCAATAAACCAAACACACGTGATTCAAACAACATAACGAGAAATTGAAGAAGGGAGTTTAATTCAGAACAGATGCAAATGGCGGCCTGTAAGATATGACTTGTTTTACTGGATTAAATTAGACTGATGTAAAAAATGGCGACTAAATTATTTATTGGCCGGGCCCAAGTGCACGTGCCCAACACGTGTGTTTGGTGTGAAAGCATACAGGACGTTAACTGGTACTGTAATGACTGCCAGGAGGCTCTGTGTGAACGCTGTTTTGAGGGTCATCAACGCGCGAGAAAGACACGAAATGACGTTGCTGTGCCAATAACAAAAGCAACAAGACAAAGTGGTGCAGTTCTATCAGAGGTATGTACGACACATCCCGGTAAATCATGTGACCTGTTCTGTACAGAGTGTCACGTCGTTATGTGCAACATGTGTTTTACCCAGAAATACAAACAGCACACATTCAAACATTTGGAAGAAGAAATTGATTCACAAAAACTTGACATACAAGTTCAAATAAAGAGTCTAAAGTCCAGTCTAGACGTGCACTACACTTCTCTAACAAAGCGTCATGTAGATAGCAAATCATTTAAAGAGAACGTGGATGTTATTCGACAAACTGTACAAAACCAGAGACTGACACTGAAAGCAGAGATTGATTCCATAGCCGACGCCGTCTTGGTCGAGTTATCGTCCTTGGTTGATGAAGAAGACAAATCTCACAATCAGGACTGTCAATCTCACGAAACAAATATCAAAGAGATCAAGCAGTTGATCAGAGATGTAGAGCAGAACACAGAAAATATGTCTAGTGAATCCTTGTTTGAGCTGACGGGGAGACTGAGAACCGCCATACCACTGTATGATGTTACTAAAAAGAGCGTGTTACCTCGCCAACCTCACTTCGTGTCTGGGAAACTTAACGCAGATCAGATAAAGTCAATGATTGGATATCTTCAGGTCGACGAATTGGAAAAGGAAAACATCGGGTATAAGAAGAAAGAAATTGACAGTAAAGAGGTTAGTCAGAATTCTACATTCTGAGTATCTCATCAGACACAAATCAACGCGATATGTCCTATTGACGACACTAACGCATGGATGTCAGTATTTCAATCTATTGAATTGATTAAAGTCAACAAAGAAGGTAAGGTCACAGAGTCTGTCAAGCTTGACTTTAACCCGGGGTGTCTGACAGTGACAAGCACAGAAGAACTACTGATCACGTGTTATGGTGGTTCACCACTGATAAACAAACTATCCAAGGACAGACGAGTGACCAGATTTACTGACATCATTCCGCTTAAAGCCTGTGGTATCAGTGTCAATGACAGTGACGAAGTGTTCGTTACTACTGCCACTACAACAATACAGGTACTGAACATGTCCGGGGATAGGATCAGACAAATCTCGCATGGAGGCGGATGGCGGAGTATCGTATGTTTGGCAACAGGAAATACAGTTGTTTCCACTGGTTATTCTAATATTTATTGTGAAGAAATGATTGTCATCAACAAAACTGATCAGGTCAAACACAAGTGGAGTGGGGAACTGGACAATGGTCAGAAGTTAAAAAAGACGTTGCAATGTGATATAGCAAGTGACAGATATGACAGAATTTTTGTACCAGACTACTACACTGACCAGGTATACGTCGTTACGAGGAATGAGAGAATGGCCAAGTGTCTCCTGGACAAGACACACGGAGTAACACATCCATTAGCTGTGTGTGTGGACATGTGTGGACAGGTTTGGATTGGCTGTGAGAATGGTACAGTATATGTGATGCAACTATAAACAAGAGAGAAGATATTTCAATGAATAAAAACTGGTAACATAACATTATAGTGACAGTAGAAATGTCTGCAATCTATAAAACCTAGCCGCTGACGCTGCAAAATGACAAGAACTTGTCCATACAATAACAGTCTTAACTTGTCAACTATACAGACTGTGTTTTTTAATCTATAAAACCTAACCGTCGACACTGCAAGTAGACTGTTTTCTATAATGACAGTATTGACATGTTAACTAAAAGTCTGTTTGGTTTACTGAGTAAATCACAAGTTTCTTATTTTACCTTTCATATGTCATCTATAGGAAATCGTTTTAGAGTCTTATTCAGAAATTTATCCGGCCTGGTATATGTTACATCATAACTAATGCTACATATTTGTTAAATGCATATCACGGAACAGTTACAGTTTGAAAACGTTGTATTTATTTGCGTCATTCAATTTGAATCTTCGAAGTTCGATTTATGAAAGTTTGACTGTATACTAAAGTATGGATACTGACATTTTATATTTTAGAAAAAAATAATCAGATAGATTTTTTCATTATCATCAATATGGTTACTTTGTTATGACCATTTTTATTCTCCATTCTATTTTTCATATTTAAGTAATTTTAGGATTATAACTGAAGATTATCTACCCATACAATTTAGCGAAGGTAATGTCAATACAATACAACGTAAGTGAAGCTATTTTCTCTATTGTTTAATATGCTGTTTTTATTTGTTTTGCATTTAGTTTGTTTGCTCTATAAACCTGTATGACCTGCTTAAGTGGTATGCTTTCTTTACTTTGTATATAATATGAAAAATAATTAGGCCGTGTGAAGCAAACATAAAAAACTAGAACAAAAACCAAAAAAGCACCAAAGAAACAAAACAAAATAAAACAGAAAAATATAGATAGTTGTTAAAAACAATAACAATATGAAATATAATTGTAAAATACAAATCATTGATTTTGAACATGAGTGATGTATCTCGCGGGATGGCGTTCACTCCATTGATATAAACCGCAAGTCAAGAGTCTATTATCATAAACTGATGAGAAATGAAAGAATGTGAGATTAGTTGCAAGAAAACAAGAATAGATGACTTTTTTCACATAAAAGTATTATGTATAATCAATAATTAAATCGTTTTCAATTGATTGCTCAGATGCAAGTTGATGTGTTGTGAAGTCGGGTGTTTGCTTTAAAACGTTAAGTAAATAGACACATTACATCAGGCTGCGAGTATTACGTGTTACATTGTGTAGGTGAGAAAGTCTGTATCATACCAGTATCTATGTGAAATAACGTCTTATATCTTTATGTTGTTGATGATTTCAGTAAGTGTATATAAAAACAAATTATATGCAGTAACAACATGTTATATTGATACACATCTTCTAAATGACTTCTTTATTGGCAATTTGTGTGTATACAAATTAGCAGGTTATCTGAATAAAGTAATTCTCAGTGGAAGTAGGTATCTTCTAATAAATACTCCTGTTAGTTTTTCCTGGTGTTTTCCTCCTTTTAGATACCTCCTTACTGTTTCCCTACTAGTTGTTGTCGATTTCTAAAAATTAATCCTTGTCTTAGCTTCTTTATTTCTCTTACAATTTCATAATAGTTACTCTAATAGACACAGACAAAAACTGTTTTCTAGTTCCTTCGCTCATGCATACATCAGCAAACAGATCAATTATAGTACTAACGTGCGTTCAATTTCACAGCACCGTGCGTTTAGATTATGTCCCCGTGAAGGATTTTATTCAATAAGCCTTGCAAACATGATTTGAGCAACCATTATGATCACATGAAGGAGTATAATTGCATCCAACTGCATTGCTCATTCAAAAATACATAAAAGAGATACACTTTTGCAAAGATTGCATTCCAATGACGTCATGTTGTTGACTGAGTCTGAGGCTCGGCTGCACCAGCTGACATTTCTGCAGTATTATATTACGCGAATGCTATTTCTTTCACACTTGGCAGGCCGAGTTGACATTGAAGAGTTCCAAAACGTTAACCGTTGCATTAACACCGATGCTCAATGTCATTTATTTTACTTTTTGACGCCAATGAATGGCATTATCTCACACTATTTGTATTGAATGTTAATGAATCAGCACGTCCAAACCGACAGTCCTGTACAATAATACACCTAAATACAAATTCTGAGCAAAATCGAACAGTATCTGAATCTCGTCGAACCAGAAGCCAGTCAATAGCAGCCACCGTTTTCCTTGCTTAGATAGAAGTCATGTTAGAGGTCGCTAGGTCGTAGTATGCTTTGATACCATATTTGAGAAAAAATCGGAAATAGCTGAGTGTCGACCAATCAGATGTCGCAGAATGATAGGCATCTTGTTTAATGACTAAGCGGGAAATCTTGTTAAAAATTGTTGTGCCATCATTCAATGACAAAGAACGATCAAAAGGCCCGAAATCATTCTTTGCTATTCATAAGGATTTATTTGAGAAAGAAACAAAGAATTAGAAACATACAAATGTATTCTTTAGGTCCCATATACGAATTCGATTACATGTTTAAGATGTGTTTTGACGATAAGTAACTCTTGACAAAATTCCCATTTTTCCAACATGCGAATGTTCAACGATATACGACTTGTTTTGTACTGAATACGTCTGTATACGACCAAGCTCCTTACACATCCTCTAGTCAATCCTCCTAACCGTATATATCAGTTTTCTATACAGCAAATATCGTTTTTATTTATAACTGTTGATTGAACATTTTGTTCATCGACCTTGTCGGGCATCAACCAAAATTTGTAAGGTGTATTTCAAATGTGTGAATTGTGCAGACGGCTAAATCATACAAACAGATTGCAAGTTGACCAGAAACGTTATATCTAGAAACGGGAATAGCGGCCACTTTATATAAATCGACACCGGTCTTTAAAATTACGACTACACAGTAACACAAGTTGTTAAGAGCAATATATATATATATATATATTGTATTCACAAACAACAATTCGTTAAAAAGAAAATAATGTATATGTTTGACAACAGGAAATATTGCTGTCAGCACTGGCTATGGGGTTTTTTACTTGTAAAGAAGTTATTGTCATCAACAAATCTGACCAGATCATCCACAAGTGGAGTGGGGAACTGGACAATGGTCAAAAGTTGAAAGAGACGACGCAATGTAATATAGCACGTGATATATTTGACAGGGTGTTTGTACCATCCTTCAACACTAAACAGGTTTTCGTCCTCTCGGGGAATGAGAGAAATATCAAGTGTCTCCTTGACAAGAAACATGGAGTAACAGGTTCAGTGAATGTGTGTGTAGACAGGTGTGGACATGTTTGGATCGGCGATGTGATGGAACTATAAACAAATAAAACTATATTGAAATGATTGAAATCTTATAACATTATAGCCTTGTGCCGATCCAAATGTTCGAGATCAATCATTCCGTAACATTAACGCCACAACATCACTCAAATTATTCTAAACAATAACCTTGTCAACATATAAACTATAGAGACTGTCCATGGTTTACTACGATATTCACAGGTTTCTGTTGTGACCTTTAGTCTATCAGCAGTATGAACTGGCTATGTAGTGTTGTAATCTCTTGTATTCCATCACAATTAAATGAAAAAAAGACATAAACTATATTTATAATAGGTGATAACATATCAATTACAGTTTTCAAACGTGGTAATATTGATATATCACCATACTAAAGGACGGCAGTGATTTTATCAAACTTAATGTTAAAATTCATTAAAGGTAATCAGATACAATTTTGTCATTACTGTAATGTTGTTTGGTTTTTTCATGAATTCATTTTTATTTTTATGTTTTTCACGTTGAACTTTTTTTGAGGGACGTAGAATAATTAACTATACATGATTGTTTAGAAAAGTGATAAAGCTGGTTTTGGTAAATCAAGATAAACATATTGTTGATTGGATTTATATTTCCTTTTTTCCTTCTTCCATTGTTTATATTTATGATTTGTGTACTTTACTATGATTAAAAAAAACAAAAAACATTAATGTGTTATATTACATTATTTTATTATATTATATATTATATAAGTTATTTTCCTATTTTGTATATCGTAGATTCATTTTATTCTTCATATTATTAGTGTAACTGGAGAAGCTATAACCGTACGATTAAGCGAAAGTAATGTAAATACAATACAACGTAGGTGTAATTATTTTCCCCATGATTTAAGATGCTGTTTTTAATTGTTTTGTATTCATTTATTTGTACTATCAACTTGTATGACCGGATGGAGTTGTTGAGTTTTATATATTTTGTATATAATATGAAAAAAAATTCACAATGTGTGTAAAAAAAATAAAAATAAAAAAAATAAACACAAACAAAAAAGCAAAAGAAACATTAAAACAATAAACTAGATCTAGTTGTTAAAATATCATCATACGAAATGTATGTATAAAAGAGTTACTGAAGTAAAGCGAAATGGTCTTACGTCATGACAGAGATCTATAATTTTGTATTGGTCAAAGTGGAAGTCCCTAAAATTCCATAGTATAGAAACCTCCAACTTTATACGTGATCGAGTCTTATTTATATTTGTGGTTTTTTATATTTGTGTTTGTGTCGGTATCGGAAAACTGTGATTATGATATCGTTTATGACACGGTGAATTTCTTTATTCAACTTGCAAAAGCCGATCGAGTTACGTGTAGTCAAGTTACCTGTATACCTTTCTAAGAGGGCAAATACTTAAACATGTTATATTGATACGGTTTTAAATTATTAAGACAATATTAAAAGCTGGACATTACACTATAGTTTTTACTATTTCAGCACATAAAAACTATTCACCAAAAACACATTTTGTCGCTATGAACTCTACTTTTTTAATTGTTAGGCACACTAACGTTAGTTAGTTTTATAATGGCTGAGAATGTTGCCACACCAGTACACATATTTTCTTCTATGCATTGTAAAATAAAAAAAGAAAATTTCTTCGATTGAGTTTTTGTTGTCAGTGGTATCGTTTACAACCGATGGCCCCAGTGAAAGGTTTCAGGACTATTGTACAATAAGCGGATCCATGTCTATCGTAAGGAAAAAGAACATGCAATATCTTTGATCAATGTAATGTCAGGTTTACAGTGGTTCAGGTTAAGTTATTATGCGTTGACTTTTAAAGGTGCCTAATTTTGATTCACAATGCGCTCCAACGTTTCTTTGGCTATGTTAATTTAATGGTCAATAATGATTGGGAATAATATATACATGCTGTTAACAATGGCGGCATATGTCTATCAAATCTTACTTCTAATGCACCTGTAACGTATCTAAATGACTCATTTTATGTTATGTGTGTATTAGTATTGTCAGGTTTGTAATGTTTCACAATCCGTATATGTTTTAGGTAATGTGACAATAAACTCGGACACCGTTAAAACAATCGTTTTTTGTTAAATAATCGTTCTTTTTTTCCGGTAAAGTATCAACATACATAAGATCAAAAATCGTTATGTCTACAAATAAACAGACATCAGTATATAATTTTGACGTAACGAGACAGATCACATCTCAAAATCAGAAGTCAAACCAAATATCGGTATTCCAGACTGGTACCTAAAGTTAAATTCGTCTTTTTGGCCCTATTCGAATATTTAGAATATATTACAATTTCCGCGAAATAAGTTTCAAATCATGTCAGATATTGAAATACTTTTGTTGGAAAGCAGGTCAAAGTTGAACTCCTCAAAACACTTTTGTATGTGTGAAGTAATGTACGAATATGTTGGTGTGTGCTATAGACATGTACTCATAATGGGAATTATTCTCTGCTGTTCTCGTATTTTGATGATGGTGTCCCTGTTGATGAGATTAATGATGAAGTTGATTTCAATAAGGTTAATGTTACACAACCATGTTTTCCCGTTATATGGTGTGTTTAATCTGTTCTGTAATACCTGCTACCAGCAACAATGTTTGCAAATGATGGCACAACATTTCCGACGGAGGGAACGTAACTCATACAGGAACGTGCCCTCATATTTTGTTAGTACGTCTAAGAGGATAAAACATGCTTGTTCCCATAGGACGTAAATGGTATTCGGTCCTCTGCCCACCAAGTGCGCTTTCTCTGATTACTTCGGATCCCTTCCACAATAAGACTCTTCGCTCGCTAACATTCGGGCCAACAAGAGCGATTATTAATAGCTGTTGTGCAATTAACGTCTTTAATTTTTGATTAGCCGTAACTGCAATTACGTCCGTATCAACTGTTTGGTTATATTTATCACTTTTGTTTCCAAAAGGACAAGGACAGTAACTTGCCTGTTGCTAAGGATCTTGTAAACATTAACAAAATTATGTAAACAGATATATAAACATTGACCTCATGTTATATGTGTGTATATACACCGACATGGATAGCGTGTTATTAACTTCACAGTAAGTTAAAGGTATGTACCTTGTGCATGCCTCTATTATAAATACTGAATAGGCTTCTATTAGATGAACCAAACACACGTGATTCAGTCAGCATAACGATCAGTGGAAGAAGGAAGTTTAATTCAGAACAAATTCAAATGGCTGCCAGTAAGATATGGCTTGTTCTCACAGGATTTATCTAAACGTTAGTAACAATGGCAAGTAAGTTATCTATCCGCCGCGCCCAAGTGCACGTGCCAGAAACTTGTGCGTGGTGTGAAGGCATACAGGACGTTACCTGGTACTGTAAAGATTGTCAGGAGACTCTTTGTGTCCGCTGTGTTGAGAGTCATCAACGCGCGAGAAAGACACGAAACGATGTCGTCATACCAATTACGGTGGCAAACAAACGCGGGGAACCTGTACTCCCAGAGGTATGTAAGACACATCGGGGTAAGATTTGTGACCTGTACTGTTGTGACTGTAACATCGTAATGTGTGCAATGTGTTTTACCGAGAAACATAAACAACACAATTTCAAAAATATCGAAGAAGAAATTGACTTACAAAAACAGTTCATGCAAGATCAATTGGAAATATTAATTTCCAAGTTAGACAATTCTATTGATAATCTTTCAAAACGTCATGAAGGGAGCAAGTCATTCAAAGAAAGCGTGGACTTAGTTCGACAAAATGTTCAAACCCAAAGACTGAAACTAAAAGCGGAAGTTGATTCCATAGCCGACTCACTTTTGGCTGAGTTATCGTCCTTAGTTGAAGAAGAAGAAAAATCTCACAAGCAAGACTGTAAATCTCACGAACAAACTATCACAGAGATCAAGCAACTTATCAGAGATGTAGAGTGGAACACAGAAAATATGTTTAGTACATCCATGTTTGCGCTGACGAGGAAACTGAGAAATACAATACCGCTGTATGATGTTGCTGCACAAAGCGTGTTACACAGCCCCCCTCACTTCATGCCTGGACAGTTGTATCCTGATCAGTTGAAGGCAATGATTGGAAGTATACAGGTCAGAAGATTGATAAAAGAAGATATTGCGTATCAGAAGAAAGAATTTGACAGTAAACATATTTCTACATTCCGAGTACCTCAGCAGGATCAAATAAACTCAATATGTCCTATTGAAGACACTCACGTATGGATGTCAGTATTTGCATCTAAAAAAATGATTAAAGTCAACAAGAACGGCAAGGTCACAGAGTCTGTCAGCCTTGACTTTAACCCGTGGTGTCTGACAGTGACCAACACAGAAGAAATACTGATCACATGTAGTGTTGGTTCACCACTGATTTACAAACTATCTTTGGACAGACGAGTGACCATATTTACTGACATCAGTCCGTTAGAAGCCCATGGTATCAGTGTCAGTGACAGTGACGAGGTGCTCGTTACTACTCACACTAAAACAATACAGGTACTGAACATGTCCGGGGAGAGGATCAGACAAATCTCGTGTGGAGGTAATGGACTGAGTATCGTATGTTTGACAACAGGACATATAGCTGTCGCCACTGGCCATGGTCCTTGAACTTGCACAGAAATGATTGTCATCAACAAATATAATCAGATCATACGTAAGTGGGATGGGGAACTGGACAATGGTCAGAAGTTAGAAGAGACGAGCCAATGTAATATAGCACGTGATAGATATGACAGAGTGTATGTACCAGACTACCACGCTAACCAGGTATACGTCATCTTGGGGAATGAGAGAAAGGCCGAGTGTCTTCTGGACAAGAAACATGGAGTAACAAATCCAAGTGCCGTGTGTGTAGACAGGTGTGGACATGTTTGGATCGACTGTGAGAATGGTTCAGTGTATGTGATGAAGCTATAAACGAATACGATAACAAGAATTGAAAGCAGGAATCATCATATTCTAGTTCAAATACAAACATCAGTGTTGAAATAACCTTAAGCCCGACACCGCAACATGATTCGAACTATTTAATATCATCAGTGTAAACATATCAGCTCTACAGACTGTGCACGTTGTACTGATATAATCACATGTGTCAGTTTTAATATTGAATATTTTATCTGTAGAAAATTGTAATAGGATGTTATTCTGATTGTAATTTAGGATTGGTGCGCATTGTATTATCAAATGTAGCATTGAAATGCATTCGAAATAGCAAATTACTGTAAGGACAATTTATATTTAACCTTTTTCCTACACTGCCAAAGTGATCAGTTTCTTACTTTTTATATGTTTTTCGACACAACTGTACTACTATCTATGTTTATTATATGTATTTATAACATATCATCATAAATTTGGTAAAATATCAATGTTATGAAATGTAAGGGCAGTTAGAAAGGAAAGTAAATATCTATTTAAACTTATATTATTGGAGGTAATAAATGAACATTACTTGCTAATGAAATCAATAAGAATCCATGGCACTCTGTTTTATTATATATTTAAATATTCATCATGGTGTATATTAGTAGATGCAGTACACCGCTTAACAATTAATAGTGACCCAAGCAATTATTATCATAATCCCATAAATAAAAGACATTTGAGATCAATTGCAAAGAATGACCTGAATACTTTGTAACATCTTACTAGTATTCAGGGTGAGATACCTACTATTTCTAAATATTAATTATGCATTTTTTTTTTGTATCGATTGCCGTGCTTAAATCATCAATTTCAAAAACATGGTTGGAGTGTTTATTATAGTTCTATTGTTGTAGATTAAACATGTAGATTAACTTTGAACCTTACTGCTCAAATACCATGACAAGATATATTAGGAGATGGTAGTTTAAAGAGAGGCCATACCACTACGTATATTTTACTGATGTATTGTAAATAAAAACAGATAAATTGTATTGATGTGTTTGTGTTGTTATTGTCATCATATCTAGTCGATAGCCCTATTTGATTGAGATCAGGACTAATTAATGATCAGCGGACTATGACTATTTTTTTTTCTAAATGCATTTACTCCTTGTAGAATACATCTAGCAATATGTTGTCCTAATATACTTGTCTTGATAATTCCTCCTAGTAGATAACTCGTTAAAATATACCCTTCGCATGACTGATTATTCTTAGCTTCTCCTAGGATTTTTGCTTTACGTCTTCAACCTGTATATAGAATCACTTGAACCTGAAATAGTCAATTAAGTGTGGAGGACTCCTCCTGTATTTCTGATGTCGACGACAGAGCGACGTACATATGAAAACAAGCCATAAAGACTGTCGTGAATTATCTACATCTCTATAAAAGATATTGTTTTACAGTCAGATAAAGGGGCTTTTTATAATGAATAAATAATGCTCCGTTATCAACGAACTATAAGTGGCAGCCAAGTATAACGATAAAGGTTTTTAAAGAATCACAAAACGCGGAAATTGTTTTTTGAAAAATTACACTATCACAGTGGTTTGTTTTTTATGTAAACTTACGCCAGCATTTCAGTATTTTTCAATATATCAGGGCACTCCTATAAGTAATTGAAATTTTGAATTTTCTTTCACTTATGAATTTCGTGACAATACAGCGTGTACATCAGACATCCCAATCTTGAAATTAAGCAGGAAATCTACAATTTGCATGATGAATATGGGACTATGTCGGACAATTGTTTCATTGTCATCAATCTCCTTTTTCTACTTTCATGGGATTTTTGGCACAACGTTTCAAAGGCACAGCCATCTTTATCAAATGCTTATGTCCATCTCTAGGGACACTACCTTATGGCGTCATAGATGTCATTTTGGCGTCATAATTGCCCGTACAAATTTCTTATTCCTTTTCATTCAATTGGTTGAGAGTACCATATTTGTTAATATACAATCTCTCCCTCTCACACCTGTACATTACTCCGGGCTTCTTAACCATTTCTAATCTTACAATTTTGAGACCCCTTATTGTATGCCCGTTGTTACCAAATTAAATCTCCAGATCTAATTAGATGTAGATGTCATTGAATTCTTTCTTTCATCATATTTGATGTTTCATAAACAAACAGAAATTAATGATCATTTGAACAGTAAAGAAATCAAGTTTGTGAAACATCAAATATGATGAAAGAAAGAATTCAAGTTTGTGAAACATCAAATATAATGAAGGAAAGAAAGAAATCAAGTTTGTGAAACATCAAATATGATGAAAGAAAGAAATCAAGTTTGTGAAACATCAAATATAATAAAAGAAAGAATGCAAGGACACTTTTATCGGATTAGATCTGGAGATGCAATTTATTTGGTAATTCATATTTAATGATTTTGTTTAGTCTGAAAGACTGTTACTTTACAAAAAACTATCTAAATAGGAAAAGTATAAATATTAATCTTTAATAATATTCATTAGTTTGGAAATATGTCATATCAAAACTTTATTTTATACACAAACAGTGTACGTATTAAACGTGTCACAACGTTTCAAGATCGACTGGTCCCATTGCCAAGCTACGACTGAGTGATTGAGCGATTTGTGTTGTTTACCTGTACAACGGTGTGACGAAATTGTATAATTCAGATGTTACTCGACCCGGGACGTTTCGCTTATCGATAGTGATTGTATGCATATTGTGTCGAATATGTACTTTAAATTAAGCCTGCTCGACAACTAAATATATCTTATTTATACTTTTACCAAAGGCAAAATATTCGCTTAACGTGCTCCCTTACCTTATAATTCCCTATTCCGTTTTATAATGGTACAGACCTGCCGTAGTTGTCTTGGATCCGAAGCTTCACAGGAAACCATATGAAATATCTCGCTGGCATAGTAAACTGCTTTTCATATGAAAAGAAAAACAAAACAAAAATTAAAAACTAAAACAAAAATAAAATCTACCTTGATATTCCATTAACTATGTATCTTACAAGTATACATTCCGCAACATAAACAATAAGCCTAACAAGAAATATACTATTCATAGAGAAAACATCACGACGTACAAACCTCCCACTTTCCAGACTATTACATTACATCCTTTGTTTAATCAGTTTTGTATGCATACTACCAACGACACTGGCATTCAAATGAAAACATAGAAGGGGGCATAACTCGTGTAGATACATGACCCCGTATTCAGTCAATATAACTGGCGAGATATACGTCCTCTCATAACATGTCTGTGACGAAGGTATAACGATCTCATAAACAGTGGGGTGATGCCGTTTCATATATAAATGGTGTTATTCGGTCTTTGCTCGTATAGAGACAAAGAAGTATAGTTCCATTTATTTATTAAATATGTTGTAACGACTACAACAAGTAAACACTTCACTGTGGCAGAAAATAACGAATTATGAAAATGAACGAAATTATTTCTTAAATGCAAATAGTATGAGATTGTTGTTTGTAAATTGTACAATATGAGCCTGATTATTTGTGTACCTCTATTTATCAAAATCATGTATTTATTGGTTTGAAAAGAAATATCCTGGTATGAAACTGACATTTTGACACTAACTTCAAATATAAATTCAGATTGAATTCGCATGGGGAATTTAAGTCAAAGTAGAAGTAAAATGTTTCATTTGAAAACTAACCTTTTTAGCTCTTTGCACGTTTAATTTAAATACAAATTCAAATTGAGATTGACCTGAATACACAGGGGTATACTTTGCTTGTTATTCTAGACATATGTGAAATGCTTTTGTGATACCTTTCTATAACAATTCACGAATTAACTAAGTTACTCCGTTTTAGATGCAGAATAACTTAATATTGCGTGATGTATAAGGTCAGAAAGTGAGTGTGTGTTTTACTTGGTTTTATATATTCGTTGTTTTAAGTTAATGATAATGTGGTGTATTTAAGATTTGTATGGATACAAATAATACCGTGCCAATGTTTGCATTGTGTGGTTTATAAAGAATGTTGAAGATAAATATGTAACGTTATTGCCTTTTTTGATAAATTTGTAATACGTAGCTCACAAAACGTTTACTTCTCTCTAAGATTCAGAAACACTGTGCTTTTGCATTTATATACAGGTGAAATTTTAATTTACAATAAAATATGTTTGGGCAATTGTGTATAAATCTGCTGTTACGTAATGCGTACTACAGTCAAACCTGATTGAGCGGTCACCTGAAATCAGCAGCCACCTCCCGTATGTGGTCAGTATGTGGTCCGCCCGATAGAAAAAATCTATATAATGAACCTGAAATAAGTAGCCACCTGTCTAATGCGGCCAGCGGTCACAAAACTCTGGCCCGAGACGTTATCTACACCTGTATTCAGCGGTCATTCTGTCAAGAAATTGACATCAGGAAAATCACAATATATTAACAAGAACACATCTCAATAGAGCAAAGCTAATTACAATGTGTAATAAGAAACCATAGGTAAGGTTTGACACGTTGAATTGACAAGTTGTTTACACAGCGATTTTCAGCTTGCAAATTGGGGTAGGTCCTACCGACCCATCAACAATATTTTACAAACAAAACAATTAATCCCACCTTGTGTACTCAATCACCTTGTGATTTTCAAAACAAGTGTGATCTTTTGTGGTATCTGTACAAACTGCATCAAAGGCTACTCAGGCCTAATACGTTATGTGATAAAAAAAACGTGCCGCTATATTGCATGCGGAAAACAGATCTGCTTCCGGCCTGCCAGTCACTATTTCTATATCAACGAAGCACACATCATGTCAAAAGGATAAATTTCACAGCGCAAACGCTGAATCAGATTTTTATTGTTTTGTTACTATGTTGGGATTTATTTCTTTAGTTAATTTATTTGGTTTGTAATAGCTGTGCGAGATCAGTACATTAGTGTTAACCTTTCCATACGGCGCATGGGTCCTGTGAATAAACGTTGAAAGCTCATAGATCCTTGCAAAGTTCTTGATTTACTGAGTGATTTATTTATAAGTGATGAATTAACTAAATACTGATATATCATTTCATTAGAAAATTATTCGAACCGCATAGATCAGAATACATCGCAATGCAGATTTTCATTGAAAGTAGATCTACATGTAGATTTCATTACTGGTGGTTGTCTGCTAGCGCAAAACGTATGTTGAACACGTGTGTAGCCAAACAAAAATAAATTCATCATTTCAAGAAATCAATCACCAAAACGCCTTTGTATTGTATTGATTATGCATTTATATTCTAGTATGAAATCGTACCCCTGTTGATGAAGGGAGATAAATTCAAAAATAACATAGCAGCCTATATTGCCGGGAAGATGTTATTATAACCCGTGGATGTATGAAAAGGTGGTTGTGATTTTCAGGTGAGTCTGGTTTTAGCAGCCACCTGTCTTAAGCGGCCAATTCCTGCCGGTCCATGGGTGGCTTCTTAATACAGGTTTGACTGTATTTACAAAATAAACACTTTTGTTTATTGTATAGTGTAATTCTAATATAGAAACCGACATTGGTTTGTTGAAACTGTAATCGTTCAGAGAGTGTCCACATTTTCACCTACGCCTTGTAAATAAAAACAATTGAAATATGTTGATGTGTTGGATTCATATATGTCATATGTAATCAATATCCCTTTGTGGTTGAACTACCGTATGTACATAAAGTAATAGTATGTAATTGTCACATTTTCATCAATGTATTTCCAGTGTAATAAATATTATGGATTGGATTTCGCAACTGCCTTAGAATATCACAAAATGCACTACAGCATAGATATATTTCAAAGGTGCTAACATCTTAGTTTCTATTTCCTTTTCCATTGTATCGGATCTCAAATATCGGTTTAATTGCTACATTGTAGATATCCTGTTTGTTTCATTTGTCGGTATGTTCACGTGGGGTATCCAATGCACGTGTCTGTTACAGCTTGTCTATGTATCATTAACGGGTCGGGTCGACCTTACCGTAGTTACTGCTTTTATTTCTTCCTACCAGCAACACACCCATGTCCTCAGCGCTTCAGTGAAATGTCGGGCTAAGGAGATATCATTGCGTCCTCAACACGGCTAAGGTCATATGAAGACGGATCCCTAAGGAGACTTTGCTGAACAGAAAATGTTCGAATCTGAGCAAGAAATATAAACTAATTCCAAGTGTTGCAATACTCATTACGAGAGTAAAAAATACAAAAACAGGACAAATGAAAAAACAACCAAAACAAACCTACAGTAGACACCCGCGACGTACTGATGAATCTGATATGAATTCTCAATATCCGGAAGTAAAAAGGGTATTGGTCCACATGTGGATCCCATCATCACTCATTTTGGTCTAATGTCGAATTCGATACAATGTGTAAGCTAGTCATTAGAATTATAAACTACAAGTCTATAATAACGATGGATATTCATACCCTATAGCTGGACAGCAGGTCAAAGGTGAAGACTTTTTTTATTCATCCGGAAACCGAAGTATCATCCGAGTATGCAACATTACCTACCGTGTCACATGAGGTTGTACCTTGCTTGTATTAGTGTCTGCTTAAATAAGGTTGGCGGAAATCGTTTGAACGATATAATGCAATACCGACAATAATTATCCTGTCAGTTAACAATAGGCCGACCGTGTGACATCACCACAGTTTTCCGTTTTGCTGTTGACGTGTTTTTCTTTTTTTTCTAATGTAGTATATTGACATAGTGAAGTGCTGCGATGCAAATATTTTATTATGGCAGTAATCGACACCCCATTGCTTGAAAGCAGGTCAAAGGTGAAGACAGTAAAATGACTTTGTATAGAAACAAGATATAGCCAGGTATACTGGGTGTCTGCTTTCTAACGTTATCCTTAAAATCTTCTTCAAGGATGTTCTGCATGGATATTTCTCAATCAAAATTCCAATACGCCGACCGTGTGATATTGACACAGGTATAATTAGTTTACCCGTATACCTTTCCTTGAATAGCTTCCAGACGATTAAAAGGTTGGTCTTATTTTTCTGTTGATTATTCCGGTTTCATGTTGAATTTTTGTAACATGAGATCATCAAAGCTTTTTTAAAACATAAGGCTGATTTATACATTGCATAGTCCGAGTGTTCTCGTGGTCCTAGATGTTGTGTTCTCTTTGCTCGAGTCTTTTTTGTCTGGTCCGGGACAAAGGGGTGGCATTGGTTAAGTTTAATGATGGATTGGGTTGGTGCTTTTTACATTCACGTAGTCGTTTCGCAGTCTTATCGATTTTGTTTATTATAAATTATCATTATGAATTTCAAATCAATTTGTATAAAGAACAGAATCACTATAGGCTGTATGACACTGCTCTTAGTATATTGTAGTCTTGAGGCATAGATAAGTTCTTAAACTAAAAACAATTGTTAAAACATACAGAACGTATAGTATAAAATGTTTCGATTTTGCATTTTTGATGAGATAAATTTAGTTTGTGATGTTATTGTCATTATATATAATCAACAGTACCTGTTAACCAAGATCAGGACTAATGAAAGATACGAGGAGTCATGACTACTTGTTGCAAATACAATCATGCCATTCTGACATTTTTATTCAGGTTTTTTTATTGAGGTTCAGGTATTATGGTAAGGGTTTCAAACACTGCATGCTTATGTTTAAAAAAAATAAAAATAAAAAAAAGTTTTTAGGATTGTAATCGTTGAAAAACCTTTTCCCGTCGGCTTTGTTGTGCATCCACCGATATAGGTGTGTATATCTTTAAATGTACAGCAAAGCGTGGTTTAGATATATCTACCCCCTGCAGACATGTATTGAATAAATCTTACATACCAAATAATTACTATTAATTGATTAATACGGCATAGGGATAGAGCTAGCTTTTACTTGATTTATATAAACGCTGGTCTTCAAAGCATGCGAGCTAATCATAAACAGTTCAATGAAGTTGTTGATAACCAATCGCATGCTTTATCTGTCGGTTAGATACAATGACATTGAGTATTTTAAAGGTATAACAGTTTGACAGATTTTTCATGGAATACATTTATACAGTTATTTTACTTTGCAAAAATTATAGTAGATTTTAATAAGTGATGGCGGATTTATATTTGGTAAAAATTCAGGGGTGATCGGTTTGGCTTGTAAACTTCCGGTTGGCAAAGGCAGAAATATGTAGCGCTAGAAAATGCCATTAAACGCGTTGAAAAATTATTTTTGAAGCCATAAAAGGTTATAAGATATATAACTCCACTGACTACAGACTTACATATAACACTAAATTTCTACAGGCCGGGCTGCCGCCGCTTTACACGGAGAATATTGGAGGTAGGGGGGTGTACTGCCATAAACATCGTTTTGTATGAGAAAACACGCAGTACACACATTATATGAAGTAAGCGGAGGTTGGTCAATGTATTTTTTATGACAGGAATAAAAACAATCGGCTGTTTAGTCAAAAAGTGAAATTAAAGGTGGATTTAGCCATAAAACCTTTAGCTGACAAAACAGTTATGGATATACCACGTGCCAAAATTGTTTTTAAACTATCTTAATCGACAAGTGTAGATGTACGGTCGTATGCATATATGTACTGTATTCGCAGATAAAATTAAAACTAAGACAGCGTTATCTGTAACCACTTACCTGTTAATAACCAGATACAATTAAAATTGGTAAGGTCCAGTTCTATTTCGATAAATTTAAAATCAACGATGAATGTGCATCTACGACCAACTCCCTGCAATCCACTATTATTTCTACGTATGTGTACAGTAAACTGACAGCACAACCCCTAATTGAATGCTTTATAGTCATTGTAATAACGTGTAACGTACATTGAGGAACTGTAAGAAGTGCAGAATAGATATGAAAAATGTTCCTTATTTCATTTCCCTCTTTCATATTTTTTTCATTCAGTAAAATGAATCAACCAATCTTAAAATACAGCAATATGTGCGCGTTTGAATTGCACATTCGTTGTTAAATCGTTAAATTGTGGACACTATGATATGCAAACGGTCAGTTGGGTGCGTTGTGCAGGTTTTAATCCATAAAATCATCAGAATAGTTTGTATAGATTTTGTTAAAAGAAACGTTAATCGTGCTCCTACTTTAGATTTCCCCTATTAGCATATTCAAAGTATATTCATTAAAATTCAGCAAATTCATTGTTTATCGACCATTTGTTATATGTGTATACGTCGGCCAGTATAGATACGTGTATTTGACTTCACAGTACAATGGTTTTCAGATATCGATAACCTTTGTGAGCATATAAATAGTCTGTATTCTTAAACATAGTTAACTCATTTAAAGTTTTAAACATTTATCTGAATCTATTGTTATTTGGCCTCATGTTAAATGTATGTATATAAACCGACATGGATAGCGTGATATTTACTTCACAGTACACTGCGTTAAAGGTATGTGCCTCTGTTATAAGCATTGAATAGGACTCGTTTGAAAAACCAAACACACGTGATTCAAACAACATAACGAGCAATTGAAGAAGGAAGTTTAATTCCGAACAAATGCAAATGGCGGCCTGTAAGATATGGTTAGCTTTCACAGGATTTATCTAAACGTTAATAGCAATGGCAAGTAAGTTATCTATCTGCCGCGCCCAGGTACACGTGCCCAACACGTGTGCTTGGTGTGAAAGCATACAGGGTGTTAACTGGTACTGTAATGACTGCCATGAGGCGTTATGTGACCGCTGTTTTGAGGTTCATCAACGCGCGAGAAAGACACGGAAAGATGACGTCGTACCAATAAAGGAGGCGAACAAACTCGGGGAAGCCGTACTCCCAGAGGTATGTAAGACACATCGAAGTAAGACATGTGACCTGTACTGTAGTGACTGTAACATCGTAATGTGTGCGATGTGTTTTACCGAGAAACATAAACAACACACATTCAAAAATATTGAAGAGGAAATTGATTCACAAAAACAGTATATGCAAGATCAATTAAAAATATTAAAGTTCAAGTTAGACCATTTTGAGGATAATCTATCAAAACGCCATGAAGTGAGCAAGTCATTTAACGATAGCGTGGATGTCATCCGACACACTGTTCAAACCAAGAGATTGAGACTGAAAGCTGAGATTGATTCTTTAGCCGACACAGTCTTGGAAGAATTATCATCATTGATGGAAGAGGAAGACAAATCCCATAAGCAAGACTGTCAATCTCACGAACAAACTATCAAAGAGATCAAACAACTTATCAGCGATGTAGAGCAGAACAACGAACAGTTGTCTAGTACATCCCTCTTTGAGTTGACGGGGAGACTAAGAACCACCATACCGCTGTATGATGTTGCTACAAAGCCCGTGCTACCTCGTCCACCTCACTTCGTTTGTCGGAAACTTAACGCAGAGCAGATGAAGTCAATGATTGGATATCTTCAGGACAGAAAAGAGGTTGACAGTAAAAAGGTTAGTCAGATTGCTACGTTCCGAGTACCTCGGAAGACACAAATCAACTCGATTTGTCCTATTGACGACACTCACGCATGGGTGTCAGTTCATTCATCTCAAGAATTAATTAAAGTCAACAAGAACGGCAAGGTCACAGAATGCGTCAAACTTGACTTCGATCCGTGGTGTCTGACATCGACCTACATTAAAGAACTGCTTATCACGTGTAATGATCATTCATCACTGATACACAAACTAACCAAGGACAGACATGTGACTAGATTCACTGACATCAGTCCGTTAGAAGCCTGGGGTATCAGTGTTAGTAACAGTGATGATGTGTTCGTTACTACTAACACTACAACAATACAGGTACTGAACAAATCCGGTGAGAGGATCAGACAAATCTCGTGTAGAGGTGATAGTGGAGGTGTTGGGCTGGGTATCGTATGTTTGACAACAGGAAATATGGTTGTTACCAATTGCGTAAATATTTATGATTGTAATGAAATTATTGTAATCAACACATCTGATCAGATCACGCACAAGTGGCGTGGGGAACTGGACAATGGTCAGAAGATAGTGGAGACGAAGCAATGTGATATAGCACGAGATAAATATGACAGAGTGTTTGTACCAGACCACATCACTGACCAGGTTTACATCATTTCGGGGAATGAAAAAAAGGCCATGTGTCTCCTGGACAAGAAACATAGAGTAACAGAACCACTGGCTGTGTGTGTAGACAGGTGTGGACATGTTTGGATCGGCTGTGGTGATGGTACAGTACATGTGATGCAAATATGAACATCTAAAAATATTCTTAAATGAATAAAACAGATACCATTACATTGGCAATACAAATGTCCGTATTCAAACAATCCTAACTGCCGACGCCACAAAATGACATGAACTTTTTCACACAATTACAGTGTTTAGTGTACTGAACTAATCAAATATTTCGTTCTTACCATTTATATTAATTAATTGTGAGGTGGTACAGTAATTAAGGTGCAACTGTAAACATATGGCAGGCTGTTAAAATGAACAAAACACCTTTACAAATATCTGTGTGCTATACATCTATAAAGTCAACGAGGAAACATGACTCAATCTATTACATATATTACGGCTTTAACATGTCAACTATACGGACTGTTTGTGAATTACTGCGATCATCACAAGTTTCTTTTTTCATTTTCATTATGTCATCAGTAGGAAATCATTATAGAGCTCTATGCTGAATTTTAACAGGACCTAGTTTATGTCAATATAATTATATCAATATAATTTATATAAATGTCTATCTATGTATTATTGAAATTTGTATCGTTACGGATTACATGTTGTTGTAGTTAATGTCAGATGTTAATGATGCTGATGATGATGATGAGGATGATGATGATGATATTGATGAAAGTGGTGTCAATATAATTATATCAATATAATTTATATAAATGTCTATATATGTATTATTGACATTTGTATCGTTACGTATTACATGTTGTTGTAGTTAATGTCAGATGTTAATGATGATGATGATGTGAGAGCGTTAATGATTGTTGAAAGCACAATAATGATGTGGGAGTGATAATGAGTGTTGATTGCACAATACATATACGTAATTTGTAATTTATTGTAAAGGATAGTTATCCAATAAGTTGTCAAATAAAAGTTGCATTGTGTGTGTGTGTGTGTATGAGTGTGTGTATCATAGTGTATGTTGTCTCTGTTTTGTTTTGTATATATGTTATGACTGATAAGTCAACCGACTTAAAGTAATAAAGAACTTGAACTTGTATGTTCCATCATAATGTAATGTCAACAGTGATATACATTTGGCTTTAACATATCACTGTTAAGCTATAGCTTGAAAACGTTGATATATTAATGTTTACAATAAGCGTGAGAGGTAGACGTTACATTTTCATTTTTTTAATCCAATGAATCAAATATACTCTTTCATCATTGTAGATATAAATATGTTCTCTTTTATGGAATATAATTCTGTTGAATCCATTATTTTGCTCATGTTTAAATCATTTTGAAAATTATTTTTTTTTTATTAAAAATCCGAGTAAATTTTGGTATAAGTTTTAGGGTCTGTGGAGTGTGTAAACTACAACCAAAGCATTATTGATTTTTTCCTTTTCTGTATTTTTTTTCATGTTTACTTTACGACTTTGTCTGCTAAAGAAGTGACATTTCCATTTTTTTCTGTAAATACCTCGGATAGAAAATTTAATAAAAATGTCACAAAACTGTCTATTGACTAAGATTTATGATTAAAACATGTAACTGCAGTTCGAATAAAAGGAATACATTACAAACAAATAAATGCCTTGGTATTTCATTAATCTTGTATATGAACTCTGTATCTAACAAGACGAATTCAGCAACATAAACCATGAGTCTAACAAACCAGCTAAATAAAATATTCACAGAGAAAAACTCATGACGTACGAATCACCCCACTGACCAGACTACAGACTATTACGTAACATGGTCTGTTAAATCAGTTCTGTATATATACTACCAATGACAATGGCATCAAAATTCAACCAGAGAATGGGCATAACTCGTGTAGATACATGATCCCGTATTCAGTCAATATAACTGGAGAGATAAAACATCAATAACGTTCTCTCATAACATGTATGTGACGAATGTATAACGGTGTCTTAAAAAGTAGGGTGATGACGTTTCATACATAAAATGTGGTATTCGGTATTAGAAATGCTCGTACAACATTTTTGTTTTAATATATACAAATAATTAAAGTTTCATTTATCTATTTAATTTATTGTAATAATTATAACATGTGAACACTTAACTGTGCCAAAAAAATAATTAATTATGAAATAGTGCTGTCACGTATTA